ACCACCATCAGCGCCGTAGCCGCGTCATATGTATACATCGTTTCAAGAATCTTACTATGAAAAAAGTAAACGTAATCCTATATTAAGACCTTCTACTTTTTTAACAAACGCTCCAATTATTTTAGTTGACACTTCAAAAAAGAACGATTCAGCCACAGCCTCAGCAGTAGATGTTCAATTAGAAATTGAATCATCAGAAACGCTTTCAGATGTATCTGCTTATTGTTTATTAATTCATGATCGAATTGTTGAATATGTACCTTTTACTAGAGAAGTAAGAAAACTAGTGTAAATAATAATTTAAAATTGTAAACATTTAATATTTGATGTAAAATACTATTAATTGATTTAAAATTAACAAAATTGAAAGAAAAAAAATGATTTTTTATTTATTTGGGAAATTCTATGAAAAAAGATTAACAAACTGGTTAAACATTTAAATTTTGTTTTGAAATTACAGGGAGATTGGATGCACTGTAAGGGGAATTTGTTCCCTTGATTTTTTTTCATCTCCCTGTAAAAATGGAGCCAAACTCCATAAACACATACTACTTGTGTGTGTGTGTAATACAAATCATAATTTGATAATTATTATATTAATAGTATTGTAATTTTATTAAATAATAGCATGAAACTGAAAGTATATCTATCGCAAAACCTGTCAAAGCAAGCAGTAATAAAAGAAAAAATGATTTAGAAACAAAGGCCAATATCAAAAAGACAAAAACAGCAGGAAAGGTAATAATTAATATTATATAATTTCTTCAATATTTCACGCACACACACACACACACACACACACACACACACACACACACACAACCTTTTTAAATATAAATTGAAATGTAACTTTATTCTATATATTAGCACACAGAATCATATAAGGATATTTTTGCTGAATTAATTTCGAAAGGAAGTTTTGAAAATAACGCAAGCAATTCATTAACAATGATGGAGGGAAATAATTCATTTACTTTCCAGTGTCCTATTGCACCAAAGAGTGAGGACTACTGGGTTATTCAACACTACAAAGTCAAAACGATTGAAGATATTCCGTCAGCTGAAAGGTTAGTAAAAAAAAAAAAAAAACTATGATCAAATGTATAATATTCAATTTTTTTGATAGTTTTTTTATTACATTGTTTTAATTAATTCATTAATTCATTATTTCTATTAAAAAATGGAAATCGAAACTGATTTATTTATTAGTGAAATAGAAAAAAGACCAGCTATATGGGATATGAAATCAATTGAATATTCGAACAAAACTCTCAAAAGAAATGCTTGGGAAGAGTTGGTTCTCTTGTTTAGTAATATCGAAGACAAAGAAGACAAAAAAAAAATTTGGGTAAGCAAAAATTAATTTAAAATACAGGTATTATTGATTTTATTTCTTTACAAATGAAGAAATTACAAAATTATTTATATCATGTTGTCTTGCCACTCTAATTTCCCTTCGTTTATAAAGTAATTCGCGAATTTTTTTCGAATTACGTCTGCATCTCTTACAGCTCGTCCAGTGTATGATGGATTTAGGTTTGCCAATGGTGCTGTATAAAGTGTATACTCGTACTTGAAGCCGTCTCTTATCCTAACATAATTATGTAGTACACATATGGCCTTAACTAGGTTTTCCGCAAAATCAATTTTTACATCGAGTGGTCGGTGTAGTATTCGCCACTTATTGCACATTATTCCAAATTTACATTCAACATAACGACGTGCCAAAGTTAAACGATAGTTGAATACCTTTTTTTCATATGATAACATTTTACCACCATAAGGCCTCATCAAATTTTCCGACATACCAAATGCTTCGTCAGCCACTATTACATATGGGACTCTGATATCTCCATTATTAGTTATAGGTCTGGGATCAGGAAGATCTAACTTCTTTTCTGTCAGTTTTTTATACAAAGAAGATTCTTTATATATTCCCGAGTCACTATCTTTACCAAAACCTCCAATATCAATCCATACGAAGCAATATTTTGAGTCGCATAAAGCCATTAAAATAAGAGAAAAAAAAATGTTTGTAGTTATAATAAATAGAACCGGAATCTGGTGGTTGAATCATTCGAATATGCTTCCCATCTAACGCTCCAATACAGTTTGGGAATTTTGCATTTTTTTCAAATTCATTTGAAATGTCGATCCACTTCTGATTATTAGGTTCTATCATTACAACGTTCTTCAATTTTGACCACATAACTAGACATACCTCATACCTGGCGTATTATCCCACTCAGTGTAGATATTCCAATTCTATAATTGTAATGTAACTCGGTTATTGAGCAACCTGTTGACAAGTACCTATAAATAAAAATTATTATTTGTTTTATTATTTATCAAAATACGCACTCGTATAAATTGTTATCAGATTGTGACATGGGTTAATAATTATTAATACAATGGTAGGTATACAGTAAGTATACAGTATACCGAAAAAATCATTAAGGTTCCAAGCCCTGATTCTGGTACAGTTTTTTTTAAGAAAAACGCATGGAGACCTTGTGCTAAAGTTTAGGTTACAAAAATTTTTATGAATTTCCAACTACAAAATCGCTGTATACCTTAATTTTTCATTTGTTTTTCACGGCGTTTTTGAAAACTACTATGAATTTTCACTTTTGACCCCATCAAAGTACAATTTAGGTTCACTTTCCTATCAGAAAAGATACTGTTGAAGAAAATCTAAGCATTTTTATTATCCTAAAACGAGTAAAACGTGATGACAGACACAAAAAAATAAAAAAAACACTCATCGCTCCGCTCAGAATCTAAAAAAAGTATTTGAATACATATTCATATTATTACATTATTTATTCGAATACTTAAGAATTTTACAAGACTGAACTGCAGTCTGCAAGCATAAAACGTTATTTTCTATTGGGAATAATACAAATCTAGCCCGTCTGACTAGCAGCGTTCGGCGGTTTTATTCTTGCAAATTTAATCAATTATTGATAAAAAAAAAAAAAAATAACAATCATAATATTTTATTATAACGAGTAACGACTATAATTAATTGTGTGTATACAGTCTATGGGGAGGGATACTGGGACTCAGTTCGTATGTAGCCTACAAAATAACTTAAAATTTTTGTAAATAAGACCCTGCCTGTACGTAATCTAATTATTATTATTTACACATATTATGTTCTGTATTAATTTGTACGACGCGCTACATTATCAATATTGTTCGTTTTAGGAATAGATTTACAGAAGAAGTGGAAAAGTCTTCGAGATGGTTATGTCAAGGAACTAAAAAAAATAAAAACTGTTAAGTCTGGTTCCGCAGCACCTGTCAAGTCGTCGTATTTATTTTTTAGGAGACTACAATTTCTACAACCAACTGTTCAAAAAAATTCTACAGAAAGCAACTTTGAAACAGATTCTGACAGTTATGAAAATCCAGAAACTGAAAACCTAAACCAGGAGACCAGTTCTAATACACCAAACCAGGCAGAAAAAAATTCAAACCAACAGCAACAAAGAAAAAAATTAAAGTCCATCCAGCCGACGAACATTTTGCCAATATCATTGAGAAAAGTCTAAACAATAGAAATAACTCCGAGAAAAAGGAAGACGATGAAGATAAACTTTTTTGTATGTCGTTATATAATGAAATCAAAAAAGTGCCTGAGGCCATGCGTTTGAAAACAAAGACATTTATAATTTAATTTTACAAAAACAAACTATCCAACAAACACAATCTCCAAGTCTTACAGTGTTGTCTCCAAATAACCATCCATCCACATCATTCGTTCAACCACTTCCTCGACCATTAGGGTATCCACAATATACGTATGATATGCAACAGAACTATGGCAACATAACCTACCAAAATAGAGTACCTACAAATTACACAACTGTTCCTTATGAAATGCGTCAAAATTATGTTCATACACAAAACAACCAAAATTTGGACTCTCCCGGAACTCCGTCGACTTCATCTGGTATCACTGAGAATTTTTAAGGGTCATCCGACATTGATTTATTTTAATGAAAAATAATTTAATTATGTTGATTATTTTTACTATGTTTAAATTTTGTTAAAAGGTATTGATTTTTTTTTTTATTATTTGTTTACTTTTATTATTTTTAAAGGTATACCTACCGACCAATTTAAGAAAATATTTTTGAGTTAAAAAGTTTAATATTTTGTTTTGTTTAATTTCAATTAATAAAATTATAATTTTTAAATTTTTGTTTTTATTTGTATGAATAATAATGTAAATGGCCTTACCTCAATGTAACGATAAGTTTTTCTTGTGGTGAAATACAATATCTTACAGCGTGTTCATTTGCTTTCAGGTAATTTTTAACTGTATCCAACAGGTCATCAAATGATTTGATGGACATACGGAAATGGTTAAAAAAATTTTCCTCGTGATCCCTAAGCTTCGGATATAAGCTAATATAATGGCTTGAAGAAAGTCTAGTTTTTAAAATGGGATGAACCCAATACTTTCTTTTTTCTTTTTGTCTTCGTCTTCTCATTCTTCGATATGTGACCCACAAACACACAGCATCTGACACGTCCATTCTCGTTGAATGTATAATACAGACTATGTTATATTTTAGATGTTATATGGCTGAAATTAAACTGTTCCGCACTTGACGCGCGTCCATGTGAATAATCATTAAAAGTTAAACGCGCGTTGGGCGATTCACTATCGCGCGTGTACGCGCGTCCATGTGAACCTAGCCTAATAAAGTCCGCGACCACACAAGTACGCTAGACGATATTCTGACAAACTATAAGGTTCTATGCAAAATAGTAATACAATTATATAGAATTTACAGTGGTTATGGATAAGATGATTGACGTAATTGTACCCTACTAGTTCAAAACTTGCCAATAAGATGTCGATATTAGTGGTGTGATCCGATGGCGTGATGTTATGTGATGCTGTACTAATACCGAACTTAGGACTTTATGTTTTTTATACAGAATTAGTAATATTGTGTATGGAAAAATTAGCAATTATGCAAAATAAAAATTGATACAAATCAATGATTATCATAGTACATCAGAACAAACGACCTCTAAACACAAATGTGAAAAGCCTAAAAACAAAATGACGACACTACATTTATTTTATTTATAGCTTTTTACTCTGTATATAATCACCCAGCAGACAATGATTATAG